GTAGAAAATGGGCTAGGAGTGAGGGAAGAAAACAGGAGGCGGGTTGACCAGTTCAAAGGTTGCTGGAGGAAATTAGGTGAAAGATGATGTTGGCCTGGACTTAAGGACTAGGTCTTAAACTTCTTTAAATCCTCAGGCTGTACCTTAGGACCTAGTCCCTAGACAGCTCCAAAAACCACAGAGAGCCCAGGACAACAAGCAATCCCATACTTCTATCAGGTCAAGTGACGATGGGGGTTCATACCCTGAGCCCACATATTCTTTAAAACTTGGTTCCTTGGGCGCCTGGGTGGCTCAGATGGTTAAGCATCTGCCTTCGGCTCAGGTCATGATCCCAGGGTCCTGGGATCGAGTCCCGCATCGTTTCTCCCTCTCCCCCTGCTCTTCTCTCTCTCTGTCTGTCAAATAAATAAATAAAATCTTTAAAAAAAAAAAAAACTTCGTTCCTTTAGGGGCGCCTGGGTGGCTCAGTTGTTAAGCATCTGCCTTCGGCTCAGGTCATGATCCTGGGGTCCTGGGATCAAGCCCCACATCGGGCTCCCTGCTCCACGGGAAGCCTGCTTCTCCCTCTCCCACTCCCCGTGCTTGTGTTCCCTCTCTCGCTGTGTCTCTCTCTGTCAAATAAATAAAATCTTAAAAAAAAAAAAAAGACTTTTAAATTAAAATAAATTAAATAAATAAATAAATAAATAAATAAAAATAAAACTTGGTTCCTTTAACACCGTAAGAGGGGGCTGTTTTTAATGTACTTGGACGACATGTAGGGACCCACATGGAGTACAAATACTCTAGTAAATAAAACCCATAGTGAAGGGCATGATAATAAATAAGATAAAAACTGACTCAGCTGTTTGGGTAAAATTAGCTTCCCTGGGAATGGAGTTGCTACATAGGGAGGAAGCAGGGGAATCTAAAGTATTCCATGTTCACAGGACAAAGATGGGCAAAATGCAGCATCTCTGGCCTCTCCAATGTCTATGCTAAAGGAGTGCTGGACTGTTTGAGTGACGGCCCATCCCAGATCTTCTCACAAGCTGATTGCCTCTCCACACTCTCCTGTGGGCACTCAGACCTGTTTCACATTTATTCCATGTTATTCTAGGCAGGACATGGTCAAGGAACAGAGCTGATATCTGGGACACTTGGGCGAGATGAACTCAGAAGACAAAAAAATAAAAACATGTTAAGCCCGAGTAAAAAGATCGTAATCACACTACTCCAGTCAGAAGAATGTCACGAGTATTTCCTTTTCATTTTGGCCTTAAACATGCTGATAGAAATGGACTTAATGAGAGTCAGCTGGGCCTTTTCATGACTAAATTTATGGATTTTGAAGCTGAACCTGATCATCAGAACAAAATTTTACAATGTTACTTTTTGTCTGTACCTGTTTATCAAGGTTTAAGCAAAATCAAGTGGCCTTGAAAAATACACAAATCTCATATATTGCTGATGGAAGTATAAGCTGGTACAACTGTTCCAAGAACTGTGGATTTCTGGCATGTGTCTCACAAGTCTTCAAAATGTGCACACCCTTATTCTAGGGATCTATGCTAAGGAAATATTCAGAAGGTAAATAAGATTAAGAGGCAAAGATACCCATTATAGTATCATTTGTAATAGCAAAATATTAGAAAGAATTATATTTTCTAACCAAAGAGGAAATGGATTTTCAATTAGGATATATATGATGGAATCTTATGAAGCCATTAAAATGATGATGAAGATGTGATTTCACTGACGTGAAAATATATTGACCATATACTGCTGGTTCAATTAAGCAAATTTTCATTGAGCATCTACTACATGGAAGATCATGTCAGGCAGTAGGGACACAGCAGTGAATTCAGGTACAGTTCTTAACTGACTGACCAGGGCAATCAGATATTGAGGAAATAATGAGATAAGCACTAATACTAAAGATAAGCACAAAGTATCATAAGAGTAAATAGCAAAAGAATTTAACCTAATCCAAGGGGATCATGGGAAAGCCGACCTGAGGAAGTGCTGCTTCAAGAGTAATGAAAGATGAAAAGGAGTTAGACAGGCAAAGAGGCAGTGGGGAGAACATTCCAGCAATTTTTTTTTAAGTATACACATTACATCAACTGTGTATATACAAAATGAATTTATATTAAAAATTTATTTTGGGGGCACCTGGGTGGCTCAGCTGGTTAGGCATCTGCCTTTAGCTCAGGTCATGATCTCAGGGTCCTGGGATCGAGCCCCACATCGGGCTCCCTGTTCACCAGGGGGCCTGCTTCTCCACGACCCCACCCCCCCACTCATGCTCTCTCTCTCAATAAAAATTTAAGTTTAAAAATTATTTTGTATCTGTATAAATTTACAAATATAAAGTCTGAAAGGATATAAACTATAATCTTATCTATATGTTGTATTACATGTAATTTTTTATTTTTGTTTTTTGGCTTGTCTACATTTTTCTCGTTTTTTTTTCCTGCAATGAACATATGTGAGTAGTATTTAGATGGGTAGATGGATGGGTGGGTGGAGAGACAGGCAGATGGCTGGCTGGCTGGCTGGCTAGATATATGGAAGGATACAAGGATGGACAGTAACCAGATTCAACAGAAGATTTGAGCTGGGCATCACATTAGACTGTTTTCTTCTTGAGTTTTTCCCTCCCTTCAATGACTAAACTCCAAGATCTGCTCCAGAAGCATCTTTTCTATCTGTTAACAGAATCACCTTGTTTTGGTTAGGCACTTCCACTACCCCAGAGGCAAGCTCATTAGCCACAAGTGGAGCCAAAACTACAATTCCAAACAGATTTCCTCTCTCAACACTGGACCTTCCAAGCCACACAGGCAAGAGAAGAAGGACTGGCAGAGCTACTTAGTGAAGGGGCAGCTAAGTAACTATTACAAACAAAATGAATTATTTTAAAGACAGAGAGATGGAGGAAGGAGAGAGGTGAACAAAGAAATAAAAACCTTACTACTAGAGTATGAAACTATGCCAAAGAGAATGCAGCTCAAACCTTCCAAGTAGTAAAATTAGCTGGTTTTCTAAGCCACATTTTCCAGGCTACTAATTCCCAGCCCAAGGCTCACAGTGAGGTAAGAGTGTCTTGGTCTGCTTAGTAGAGGCTTAGCTCCAAGTTGAGACCAGCTCCTTCACATGATAAGCCAACAGGGAGCCCCAGGCGAGGAACTCTCAAAACACAAGTGCTAAGTCACCCCCAACTAGAACCACTCTCACCCAGGATTCAGCAAAAATTGGGTGCCTGCACTCACCCATTCTTAGCAAGCCCACATTCATTCTTTCAAACTTCATTTATTTACTTCTCCTAAACACCATGCCCTGTGGTTGGTTCTGAGGATTCAACTGTGACAAGACATGGTGCTCAAATGCTCAAAGCTCACCCAACAACTGTGGAGACATTTCATTCATTCATTTAAAAAACATCTGACTCCTACTGTGTACCAGATGCTTAGGATGTGATAGTAAACAACACCTCTGTCTTCATGGAGCTTATAGTCTAGTGAGGAGAGAAAGATAAAAAACACATCAACAGGGTGCCTGGGTGGCTCAGTTGGTTAAGCAACTGCCTTCGGCTCAGGACATGATCCTGGAGTCCCGGGATCGAGTCCTGCATCGGGCTCCCTGCTCAGCAGGGAGTCTGCTTCTCCCTCTGACCCTCCGCCCTCTCATGTGCTCTCTCTCTCTCTCAAATAAATAAAATCTTTAAAAAAAAAAAAAAACACACATCAACAACCAACAACAGGATTTTCAGACTGGGATAAATGTTATGAAAAAATATATAGTGGGGAACTATGGCAAGGGTCGTCGGAGGAGGCCTCTCAGAGGAGACACCTGAGCAGTAAACTGCAGGATGAGGGATGCCTGGGTGGTTCAGTCTGTTAAGCATCTATCTGCCTTCGGTTCAGGTCATGCTCCCAGGGTCCTGGGTTCGAGTCCCACACTGGGCTCCTTGCTCAGAGGGGAGCCTGCTTCTCCCTCTGCCTGCCGCCCCCCCCCCGCTTGTGCACGCACTCTCTCTCCCTCTCTCTCTCTAACAAATAAAATCTTTAAAAAAAAATTAAAAACTAAAAAAACTGCAGGATGAGAAGCAGCCGACACACCAAACGCCCGAGCATGGGCACAGCAGACCCCAGGAAACAAACAAGAACACAGAGGGACGGTGACCATGCTCAAAAGCAGCACTGGGTACTTGGCGATTGTGGGAAGGGACACCTGACCCAGTCCGAGGGTCTCACCCAGCCCAGCTAGCCCTCGGTCAGCAGTGATTTATGGCACAGGGGAGGTACTGTGAGGTACTACAGACAGGAAGTTCCACCCACGGGTTTCAAGGAATTCAGTCTCCCATGTGAACTAGTTGGACAGGGCTATTTGGCATGTACAGGAAGCAGGGACTCTCTAGAAAGTTGGCAAAGGTGCTGAAACTGAATGCCAGATGATGAAAATTCCTGTCTTACTCTCCCCTCCAAGCCCCACCATCACTTCTCCCAAATCTCTTCCACACTCCTGTAAAGGCCCAAGGAGGTTTGAAGACCTTGCCTGGTAGGAATGGCTAGGGAAGGACAAGCTAGTCCAGCATGGGGCCAGGCATCAAGAAACCAAGTTCCACTCATTTACTGTGTGACCTGGGGCAAGTCCCTTCCCTTTTCTCGGCCTTAGTGTTTCCCATCTGCAAAATGGAAGATCAGAGGCATGGGGAGGAGCCCAAGAGCCTACACGTCTAAAAGCTCCCCTACACAATTATGATGTGCATGCCAAAGTCTGAGAACTAATAACCTCTGATTCTACCTCTTCTTTCCTCAGAGTGGTCAAGGGGCTGCATGCCAGGCTGGTTGCATCAAGTCCTCCAGGGTGCAAAACATAGTCTCTGGCACACAGAAGCTCCTCATAGTGTCACAGCATTCTCTTTCCACCCTCCCCTCATGCCACCACCCGAAATATCCCTCAGCGGGGCTGCGGGCCCGAAACTGTGGGTTATTGTTCGCCCCTCACCGTACCTGTGAACATTGCACAGAAGTAGGGGCTGCAGGCTGCCAGGACCACACGGTGGGCTTCTATCTCGACATCTTCTGCCACAATCATCACGTCACACAACAGCTGTTTACTGTAAAACACCAGTGAGGGGAAAGCATGGGTCACAGCACCAATGCCCACCCCCAGCCACACAAGGGTATGTTTTTCTTCCACCCAGATTCCATGCTGCCACCATACAAGGCTGTCACAGACATTTGCCGTGCCAAGTTAAGGCAGGGGGGATGAACTCATCGACTTTTCCAAGTCCCTGATAAGCCTGGCATTCATGCTTTCCTAAGGCACACAGAGAGATCCAACTACCCAGTAGCTGCCAAATCAGGTCTCCTTCATTTGTCTTCACATCTCTGCTCCTCAACTCCAGCAGCTCTGACTGAGATGGTGAGGGGGGAGGACAGCAGCTCAGAGAGCAACGGGGAAAGCCTGGGGCTATGCATTGGGTGACTGGCTGAATGCCAAGGAGCATGCCACCGAGCTGTGCCACCAGTGAGAACAAGTATTAACAATCCCCCAGGGGATCCAATATCTATGAAATACTGGTAAGAGGCGAGCCAGGTCTGGAGGCCTCAAGTATTCAGCTTCCCACCCAGATTTAACATTATCACCAAGAAGGTTACTCCTGAAGACCCTGTGCAAACTCCAATCCTTGCAATTATTAAGGATACCGTAAGTACCTTTTTACTTGTCATCCCCACTACACTGTGCCCTCTGAAAAGGACTTGTTTACTGTTATATCCTAAACACCTGGCTGCAAGCCTAGCATATAGAAAGCCCTAAGTTTTTACTAAATAAATGAGTAAATGAATAAACTCTGAAAAGGGATCAATCCACACTCATAGACAGAATGAACATTAGACTACTTTGAAGGATTGAAAGGGTTCCCCAAGACCATTTCAACCCAAGAATTTTTCTTCCACCAGCCTTCCAATAGTTAACATTTATTAAGTTCTTTGTGCTAGGCACTGTTCTAAGCACTTTTTTATACCTAATATTTCATTTATTCCTCTCTAAAACCCCAAGAGATAGGGTTATTATTATGTTCCATATTACAAAAAAGGAAACTGTGGCCCAGAGAAGTTAAGTAATTTTCTCAAGTTCATACAAAAAGGGAGTAGTGGAAACAAGATTTGAATGGAGGTAGCTAAATCCCAGAACCCATGTTCCTAACATCCAAGGTAACCTGGTCACCACTAATCCCTCCTTCAGAGTGAAGCACTAGAGGTGGGAGGGAAGACAGGACAAACACATGTCAACTGCGATCCAGTGGCAGTGGTTACTTAGTGCACTACACTGGACTGAGAAGTCTGAGTCATGACTAGGTTCCATGTGAGAGCAATAAGATGAATATAATGTCTGCCAGGATCAACTGATGGAATAGAAGCTACCTATTTGTCAGCCCTGGTGTCGCATATTAAACCTTTGCCAACTATTCAGACATTAGTCCAAGACTGCTTATCAGAGAAATAGAATCATAAGGCCTGAAAAGGCTGGAGCTGTAAATGCCAGATGATCTATGTCGTTCAGAGAGGTGGCCCAAAACCACAGAAGGCTGAGTCTTGAATCTAGTTCTGACTCTGGATATACTACCATAATGACTCATGATTGGCTGATACTCTGAAAGGGAAAACAACAGAAGATAAGTTAGCCCCAAGAGGGAAAGGTGAAAAGAATAAAGTCCCCATGAGGGGGCTTCTGGGAAAGGTGAGACCTCTGAGTGGCAAGAGGCAAAACCTGGGGATGAGACCTCACCCTACAGTGGACAGCAGGCTCTAAATATAAATTTTATCAGAATAAACCAGCTCAGCTGGGAAGAGAACTGGCTCTGCCCCTAACTGGCTATGAGAACATGGACAAACAATCTCACCACAGTATTCTCATCTTTCTTAG